AAAATCTTCTACTGTCATATTCTTATCAAATGCCTGTCCACTTGTTATTGCTTTCACTCTTCTTTGCTGGATTCTGAACAACTTAAAATATTGCACTACTTTTGCCCCAGTTTGATCAAAAACTTTAGATTCCTCACTTGTTAAAGGTATAAACTGCATTAGTAAAACCTGAACTCCCCACCCACTGCAGATGTTAGCTAATTTAGCAGAACTATAAATCACATTTTTCTTGATTAAATTTGGATTTTGTATAATTACTTTTCATCCTGTATTTCCTGTGTGTCCTGACCCTACTGTTTGTTTTCATTCTCCCAACATAAATTGACTGCCTAGTAAAGATCTACCCATTGCATCTGAAGAAATGGGCTCTAGTCTACAAATGTTTATGCTAGAATAAAATCCTATGGGTCTTTAAGTTTCACAATTATTCTAATTGTGTATTTTAAAGCTATGTCACTGACCCCAATTATAATCTTTCACTGTAAAGCTTTTTGAACATTTGCAATGTATAGAACAAGCAAGCATTTATCTCCTATGCCAGTACAAATATATCAGCAGAATATATATAAGGAATATGAAACTGAGTTTAGAACACAATGTCGAGACTTCCGGGCAATGTTGCGGCGATGCGGGTGTCTGGCCAGGACGCTCCTGACCAGCTCCAACCCTTTTCTCTTCTTTTGAAGCTCTCTGGGTCCTAGTGACTGCCAGGGGCCTCGCCTAACTTCCTGGAGGGAGGTTGGGGTACAGAAGTTGGATCGGACGACCCCCAAACAGCAGTGAAGGGGACGAGACCGACCTGTTCCAAGGCAAAGAGTGAAGAAGGGAGCAGCATGGTTCGCCACGCTGTGCAAGCTGTAACGCCCGTTTTAATCTTTTTTCATTTTCAAGAAGCAACAAATACAAGAGAGCGAGTATGTATCTGTTTGTTCACTAATTGCTGAAGACCCTGCATAAAAGACCCCTTAAAGGCTATCTCCATCTCGAGATTGTACGAGCGGCTGTGAAAAGGAGTGGAGCAAAGGCTTGGAAAATGGTGACAGCAGGGGAGATTGACGATATTCCAGCAAAAGAAACTATACTGGAAGAACTTGGCCAACTAACTCGGGATCAGTTTAAGGAATTTTTGATCCACCATGTGAGGAAGGCTGCAGAGGAAGCATGCAGAAATATTTGCAAGAAATTTCAAAACGTTGATCTGAAATAAAAAATCAAGGAAAATAAGGAAGAGCCAACGCCCTACCTGCGAACTGCAGTGAGTTTGGCGATGGAGCGGGAAGACAAGCAAAAGAAGGAAATAACTGAATTAAACTTTACACCGTTGAAAAAGAAGAAAGATGTTTCCACGAAAGAAAAAGAAAGAACTGTATAAAACAATTTGAGAGTGCAGGCTACATAAAATGTAAGAAGTGAGCAGAACCACAGCGAGAAGTGAAGAAATTAGCTAGAAAAAACCCGAGGTTTCTACCAAAGCAAAGCAACAAAGATAACAAAATAATGTGGACAGGAATGTTAAAACAAGAGGCAGAAATACGAATGGAAATATTCAGAGTTCAGAGGTTTGAGACATTTAATTATGGTCATTAAGAAGAAATCTTCTCAGAAAACAGCGTTGCAATATGTATTATCCTGTAGGTTAACTATCGCTGTTTTCTTAAAATATGTAATGCTCAATGGCTTAGGCTCTGGATATGGTTTGACAATGATGCTTTGCCTATGCACCTGGACAGCTCAAATATTGGGGGTTAATATCCTTTTGATACTTTATTGCTTAAATATTTAGATGGTATGAGTAGTAACTTGACTTTTGTTTGTTTGTTTACTCACGTAAAATACATGGGTTATTCCTGGGCTATAATTAAGGGTCAGTGATAGTGGAACTGATAGGACGTATTCATTATTTTGTTTTGCTAGATGAATTTTTAGGGTATAAGGCCGCCCCCCCCAAAAAATATGTGTGAGTGCAAACTGTAAAATTATGGTGTAATAAACAAGGTATTTGTCTTATGAGTAATCCCTAGAAGATACATAAAATGTTAAGGAGGAAAGGAATGAGAATGAAAATGGAGTGTTATTCTGAAAATACAATATAGTATGTTTAAAACTTTGATTACTGGAATGGAAGGATACGATGAAGTTGTTTGGCCTAATTATCTAGAAAGTATGAGTTTTTAGGCAAAGTTTTCTATTATTTCCTTTTTCACGTCCCCCCCCCTTTTTTCTTTTGCCTTTCTGCACCTATAGTGAACTGTTATGTATAGGAAATAAGATTTCGTATAGGCTTAGAAGAATATGGCGCAGGTGGAATCAATTTCTGAGGGTGTTGATGCTGGATAAAGGTGGTGTGGGAGATGATTTAGGTAATATCAGTGAATGAAAAGATTTGTATGGAGTGTGATAAACAAGTACAATTCTATAGCTAGATTAGAACCGAGAAAATATTGTTGTTTGTTTATTGAAATGCTTTGCTGCAATAAGAGATTTATTTTTTGTGTTTGTTTGTTTGGTTGAAAAACAATAAAAACTATTAAAAATAGAACACAATGTCCTCATTTCAAAAAATGAAGTTATGAGTCTTTCACGTGAAAGAACCTATGAGTGTACAGTGTAGAGTCAACTCTCTAAACCTAAAGCACGTTTTACCACTATCATTGTGGTAAGGAGAAGAGGTTCATATCAAGATAATTGCTTCAATTTGATGTGCAATACAAATGCTACATGCTTTCAAATATGACAACACTTTATACTTTGAATAAACCTGAAAATTTATTTACATTCTTAGAAACACAGAAATTAAACATACGAAATGTGGATACATCCCTTGGTTTAGTTGAGTATAAATAAGCTTCATATGTATTCTGCAAACAAATTTTAAGTTCAAAATTTTTATAAAATACATTTTATGTTGTATTTATATACATGCTTAATCTGAGAACAGGAACTGAATATGTTATAAACAAGCTACTGCTATGATTCAATAACAGTGGACATATAATTTTCTTTGCATAGGATATGCAGGGAGGTGGAATCTTTTGAAACATCAAGAATTCTGTTCATATATATGAAAACTTCTGATGCTAAATGCAAATATATGCTAATTCAAACAGTATTCTGGACAGAAGGCTTCAGAGAATGACTGCTTTAAAGGAGCCAAAGAACTGTAACAAATATATTTACTTTTTAAACAGGTTTGATAAGCCAAATAAATACATCTTTCCACCACCACCTCTTAGTGGAAATATTCATACTGTTGTTTTGTTCTCACACTATATTATATATATATATATATACTGCAATGCTATAAAAGGAACGGTCAGAATTTCAATCAATTTCCTGGGCTCTAATACTAGTTTAAATGATTAACTAAAGTGCATAACTAACATTTAACCTGTAAACAACTATAATATTTTGGTATACTCCATTCATGTAGCTTCCTTTGCCACTCCCCTACCCCACCTAATTGCATGCCAATTGATTTTTCATATTAAATAGAGGGGCACAGTCTTGAACCCTTACAGATAGCCACTTAATTTTTACATGGTTCTGAAAACTGTCACCATAGGAACGTACTAATAAGATGTACTATTTTAATTAGGGATGATCACCTTCAAAGCTTTTATAAGTGGATTTATCATATAACAGGGAAAATGTTTATACATGTGTTATTTCATGAATCAGATGGAAATATGTTGAGATTTTGCTCCTGTCCCAAGGAATTTCATAGAAAGCACTTATATGAAGTCTTCTCATGTTGTTGTTTTGTTCATAAGGTTGATGTGGATGAGCACATTCATGAAATGAAATTTTAAAGTAAGAACTGGATCTCCAAAGGGCACAATCCTAAACACTAATAATTTAGAAATATTTTCAGATGACATAAAGTAATTTTAGAACTGAGATTTAACTTCATTTTGTAGCAGAAACCTTTTGTTATCACAATCAAGGGGTACAGTTTGCTACAGAAAAAGTTGCTCCCAAGAATTAACACCACTAAGCATTAACCCAGCAATTCTCCAATTTCAGATATCATCAGTCTACAGAGACTATTGTACAAGATATCTTTATTTTAGTCTAGAAAGCACCACATAATTTTAAGTTGTACGTCTGAATTCAATTCAAATAGAATAAAGGTTTTTAAAAAATAAAACTCAGGAAAATTCTGTAGCAGTTTAACGTTTCAGGCAGTCTAGTGCCTAGTAGCTGGCTTCCTATTATTCTTTCAACCAACGGCCAGCTTGGTAACATCAGCAGCAGTTTTGCAAGACCAAGTTCATGTTTTCAGCTTTCCTTGATCAAGCTCTAGTCTCATGAAAGCAAGATGCTAAGAAATTAGTAACTAGGAACATGAATGGGGTGCACATTAGAAGGCACATCCTATTCAGTACCTCCATTTGATGTACATCCTGTTTATAGCAATAGCTAACAATCCAGCAAATGATACCAGTGCAGAAGTCTACTTTTGCATGTGGCTCATATTAAGTCTCAGTGAAAATATAATTTGGAAATGGTGAAGCACACTTAACAAGTTGTATTAACTTCTACAGCCTTTTTTCCTGCTG